TGTAATAATACGCTCTAGTGCTTCTCTCATCAATCATCTGTGCACATAATCTAAGGTCACCTACCAGTCGGAACCACCTCTAGTGGTCTGTACGACTAGCATGTCGGAACCCTCTATCGGTTTGTACGACATGCACCTACTTGGATCTAAGGTGAGCATGTGATGCGGTGAATAATATAAGCACTAACACCAAGGGTGCAGGTTATAAGTTCTCAACACAATTCACATCATCAATGATTCACATGAATAACATAAAACTCAGCTGATACTCACCTGTGCGTCCACAACACCAATTCACATATATATATATGCATCAATTATCAATTCATATATCTCATAATATGCATGCATGGCATTTTAAAACGTACTTTCATTTAAACTCAATTTCTGGGAAAAAATATCAATAGTATATAGGTATAAACAGAAATACTGCCCACTCACCTGGAGTTCGCCCAACAACTCCCTAGCACAACACATCAAGGCGTCATGATGATCGGCGCCTAGAACAATAATCAAATCCAACCTCAGAAATCATATCGATAGAATATATAACTTATATAAAACACGTCACTACGTAGTTCAATCCGGAAGATCTGCAACTTAGATTTCAAATCCATAACTTCCAGAGGTCCACAATATACCTCTAGGACAACATCCTAAAATTTCATTACCATCCAACGGTCGGATCTTCATCAATTTCCAAAACCAAGTGACGGTTAACATACTATTTTATGAACTTACAACTCCAATTTCGAAAGATCCGTAAATCAGATTCCCGATCCGTAAGTTCTTATAATCCTCAAATATTACGTATTACAACGTATCAAAGTTTGGTGACGATCCGACGGTCGGATCATCAATTCACATTTTCACCTAACCACGAATCGAAACGAACTTAGGTTCAATTACTCAATTTACGTCCATCCATTATCAAAAATGAACCTAGAACCTTAAACACATGCTAAGAATGACATTGGCGGGCCATTGGCCACGCACCGCCGCACGGGCCGCCGCAGGTGGCGGTCAGCCGCCCCGGCTCGCCAGAAAATCCAACTATTTCCAAAAATTCTCAAAAATACATAATTGAAGATCTCAATGAGTAAAGTAAACTTTATACCTGAGGCTAAGGCCAATTTGTCCTGGAAACACTTCAATTTCACCAAAATCCGTGCAGACCCTAGAATTGGGTGAGTTCCAATTCGTTCTCAAATCAACTCCGATGCTCCAACTAATGCTTGGGCTTTGTTCTAGATCTCAAGAGGATGCCATGGGTGGTAGAAATTGGAAGAAATTGCTTCGGGATTGGGTGATTCGAAGCCAAAGCCGCCGCACCCCTCCTTGCGGTTTTCTCCATCTTCAAAGCCAAATCTCTCAAATTTTGAGATGGAATGGGTAGAGGAAGGCTCCTAGAGTGTTTCCCATGAGTTTTCTTGAATCAATTCGCCGAAAAACGGGTGAAAATCGTCGAAAAAATAGAGATGGGTGCGCAGGTAAACGGGTTGGGGAAAAACCCGTTTCTGATCTTCTCTCCTCTGCTTCTCGCCCTCTCTCATTTCCTCCTTTCCTCTGTTCCGATTGGCCATCCTCTCCTTCTCTCCTCTCCTGATTCGTCCCCTCCTTCTTCTTTCAGATTGGGCAGTTTTGCCCAATCCCATTTTTTTTTCCTTTCTTCTTTCTTCCCGACTGCCCAATCCTCATTCTTCTTCTTCTTCTTCTTACGCACACATACCCACAAACCTTCTTCTCTCATCCCAGCCATCCATTTAATTCTTTATTAAATCTGGGCCGTCCATTATCATAAAAAATTTCCAAATTTTACTAAATTATAATTCCTAAAATGCCCAAATTTCAAACGTTAATAAATTCTTCGATATAACTCCAAATCACGCACCGTCTGCGCCCACGCGTCCGTAGCGATGAGTACTACGAGGATATGTCAAGAAAACAAATCTTAGATGGTACGACACAACGATTAACTTTGAATAATGCGCATGCCTCAAAGGGCATTTTTGTAAAATCCTTTATTAAAACTTTAAAACTCTTAAAATCAGGGACGGGCTGTCACACAGTCTCTCTCTCGATCCTTCTCTCTTCTCTGAGCTACCTTCTCCCCCTTCTCCATTATCCCACACACACACACAGATCTCCCACACACACGCACAGAGACCCAAGGCCTCTCGATCTTTCTCCCACACACACGCACAGAGACCCAAGGTCTCTTGATCCTTCTCCCACATCGCCTTCTGCTCCTCTTTCGTCGACGCCGTGTCTCTCCTTTCTCTCTACACCGAGGGTTCGAGACCCATATACACACACGCACACCATCACACCTGCTTCAGGAAGACACCCATCATCATCAACAACCTCGTCTTTCTCCCTCTCCTTCTCGTCTCTGCAACTCGGCGAACGCAGGAACTTTGGCGAGTTTCTTGAATTTATCCGGTTAGGTAAGCTTCGGGTTTGCCTCTTTCTGTTCTAGATTGAAAATTACATGTGAAATTTAAGTTCAAAATCGTGTTTTTGCAAGGTTTTTGGGACGAAATCGGCTCGGGAATAGGCACACCCATCTCCGGCGAGGCCGTGGGTGTTGAAGAACTTTCCGAACACCTCCAACCGTTTCACGGCAAACAGAATTTATAAAACATTCATCTCATCTTCTATTTCATTTTGATACCCAGATCGGAGTCTAGGGTGCTTTTTTACAGTCGGCCGGAGCTGTAGAAGCTCCGGCGTTCTTCTCCAATTAGCATAGTTCCAAAATTTCGCGATAGTTTTAGAAATATCGCGATATTATCGATAATATCGCGATATTTTGACGAAAACCCGTTGGATACCTATTAAAATATCGGTAACGTGAAAAAACGATAATATCGGCGATATTATCGGCATTTGAGACATTGGATTCCATTGAGTGATGGTCCAGAATCCTTTCTACTCCACGATTCCGTTGAGTGATGGTCTGGAATCGTATCCACTTGACTTGTTGGTTCCTTGGATTTGATTTCAGCTTTAGAGATGTAGGCTTTAGTAGAACTGTGTCGCTCTAGCCCTGCATTTCGGTCTATGATATGTGTTATTGATTGATGTGATTGGGGAATGAAGTTGGTTGTGATTGTTGTCATTATGATTAAACTTGTGGACCAATGTGGCTAGAGAATAACATTGTGCGTCGTTGACTGTTCCTTGAGATGTTGCATACTATGAATGGCGGTATATGTGAAATATAGTGATTTATGTGATGGATTAATTGGAAAGCATATGTGTGAGAATAGCATACCTGCATGCATGATAAGGTGATAACTATTGTTTGGCGTAAGGTTGATGTGTAGTGTGGTACTCTATGATTTCTGCTTGAATGTACTGTAATAAACGACAGAGTGTTGTTAATGACGAACTACAAATGACTTGATCCTTGTTTAGGGTACGTAAGTAGTCTAACAAGGAGGTTAGATGCAGCCATAAAGTATACGAAAATTACTATGTGAACCAATGCTCGAGTTATGCTTTGCCATATCCCGGAGGCGGGGTATGTTAGATGTACGGATACTTGGTGACATCACGTGTCGATCCTAGACGTATGTCGGGATCGGGGCATGACAATAACCATTTGGTTTTTGATTTTCGGTTTTCAGTTTTCAGTTTTCTGATAATTGGTTTGGGTTTTCATAATCAAATAAGATTTTAGTTTTTTAAAAAAATGAAAATTGAAAACCTGTTCAATGCTAGGTTTTGAAGTACTTTTAGTTTTTAAAACTAAAAACTACAACTAATTAGCAAACAAGATTTTAGTTTTCAATTAAAAATTAAAAAAAAATATTGAAGAAGAAAGGGTTATCAAAATTTATAAACAAATTGATCGCTATGAATCGACCAAATTGATTCAAATAAATTGTTTTGAACCAAAACCCAAACCTGTAAACAAATTTAGGGAGATTCTACGGGAACGGGACTTGTCCAATGAATCAGCAGCAGCCTCTGTTATTTTTTCAGCAGCGAAATTCTGTCCATTCTACGGTACCTTATTGAAAAATAAGTACAATGTAAGATATACTAATGGTTTAAATTACAATCAAACATTACACTATTAAGATAAGGTTTCAGTTAATGACAAGGAATGACGTAATGATTACAATGATATTTTTATTACGTTGTCAAGGAAGGTGGTGGTACTACAATGTGATTGAATTACAAAATTAGCGTTTATTGTCATACCAATGACATACTATTACAAAATAGACGTATGTTATTACTCGAGAACACATCTTAATCATGTTACAACATGACACCAACACACAAGGTTTGAGGTCATGTTATACCGTAGTCGTTCAAATTTGTCACTCAAGATTACATGATTATCCTAAAATTATGTTTAATTAGGCCAAATAAAATAGCGTTAGTATTACTCTACCATACGGTGTGGTAGTATATTATAGTTGAACATTAGATTACATTGTTAATGCAGTATACTATAGTTGACATTATAGCATTACACTTCAAATTAAACGTTACCGATCAGGGGTGAGTTAGAAAAACCAAAAACTGAAAAAAATCAAACCTAATACTGAATTGAAACAAAAAACCGAACTGAAAAAACAAAACCAAACCGAAATTGGTTGGTTGGGTTTCAGCGGGGTTCATCATTGATACATCAATCATCTTCTCTCGACGTCGCACACCTGGAACTGGTTGCTCACCTTTTCGTGGATTTGTGGAAGAAAGAGGCATACAGAGATTGAATGGTTCAACAACTGTTCCAGTTATGCCACTTCTAAAATTGTGTCTGAGATTCATATAAATAATCACAACTTTTGGTTCCTCATCTCATACACAATTTCATAGATTCACTAACACCTGTACAAAACCTGCGTCTTTATATTTAAATAAGCATGCATACTCAACTAATAACTGCGTCGCCGATCAACTAAACAAAAAAATCAGAATGAAGTTACCTGTTGCTCTATAACCCGTTCACGGCAGGCGGAGTCATAACCCTTGGGCAACTACAGAGGGCCGGTTTTAAGCGCATGGTCCAAATCAGCAATCATATCATCTGCGTCCTCTATCCCCGCAGAAATACGAATAAGATCCTCTGATAGACCTCTGCCCTCACGCACTGCAGATGGTATGCTTGCATGAGACATGAAGCAGGGCAGGCTTATAAGGGACTTCACACTCTCTGTAAATAATAAAAGACGATAAAATGATATGTTTCGAATCAAAACGAGGCAAATCAACAGTATGTCTTTAAGTTATTAACTGCAGACTGCATCTTATAGCCCACAGCATGATACATTTATGCATAACACGTGCACTAATTGAGAACCCTTTCTGCTTTCGAAATCACTTTTCTTAGGGAAACTCCCCCTTCCATCCCTCTACTCATAAAACACAGGAAGACAGATTAACCTTCTTGCCACGGTAATCAATCTCTACAACTCACAAAACAGGAAAAGCTGATATACCAAAACTGACAGTTACACCGAAGTATTTGGTAGTCTTGACAATATGCTTTGATAGCGCCAGTGAACCGGTTAGAAAACTCATTACAGATCCTGCACCTTTTGCCTGAAAGAGGTGTCTATGAATATCCGGAAATTTGATTGTCTATTGAATTATGAATCTACAATTCCACCGAGGTCCACACCTGAGAATAATGCAAGGCACGTCCAGGATGGCCAGAAAGCCCAGCATAATTAACTTGTGTCACTTGTGGATGGGACGTGAGGAACTCGGCAATTTTTTTAGCATTATCCTACCAATCGGCTTAGGCAAAGACCTTTAGATTCCAACACTTCTCTCCAAAGGTTAAGCTTCGCATTTACCCCTTCCTGAGTTTCATCTATCAACCCTATATCGTCTGCGTAAAGCATACACCGAGGAATAACATCTTGAATATGTCATGTTAACTCATCCATTACCAATGCAAAAAGGTAAGGACTTAAGGATTGTTGATGCACAAAATTAGTAAGGACTTTGGTACAACAGAAAGTATTAAGTTTGTGACATTCGCTAGATTGCTCCGGTCATTAGTGTGGATAAGTATGTAAAAGGATAGAGACAGGAGAGCAAACACAAGATGTACGTGGTTCACCCAGATTGGCTATGTCCACGAAGTAGATGAGTTCTCATTAATTGTGAAGGGTTTACACAAGAACATAGGTTCAAGCTCTCCTTTAGTGGGTACAAGTGAATGATTTAGTACAAATGGCATTAGGAAATATTTTGGGAGAATGATCTCCTTTTATAGAAGAGAGTTTCTAGCCTTGTTCTGACATTGACACGTGTCGGGTTGTGATTGGCTTCCGATGTTGACATGTGTCGCGCTATGATTGGCTTTTGATGTCGACACATGTCGCTCTGTGATTGGCCTCCTGGTTGGAGGGGAAGCTCCTCGGTTGGGGACTTGCAAGATCCAAGCCACTGAGTAATCACGAAACTTCTAAATACCGAAGTGTGGTATCGTCTTCACTTGCCTTATCTGTCTCATAGGTAGATGTGGCATCTTCTCTGGAAGTACTCTTCCTCCGTCCAGGGGTGGTATCTTTAACTAGTGGAGATGCACAAGGTAATGTATCAATTTCACTTGAAGCTTACTTGTAGTTTCAGGCGTGGTCAAGCGCAATACAAACCATGTAGTAGGAGTCCCCCAAGTTGTCGAGCTAGGGGATCTGCTGAAAGAGGTGACAGACAAGGTAAGTAATCAGAGCTCCAAGCAATCAGTTCCAGATCAGAAGTTTGATTTCGAGTTTCGGCTGATTGTTCTCATTCTCCTTATCTTGTAGGTAGCATAAAGGATAAAGAGAAGAAAAGGAAAAGAGATGATATGAGATACTTTTGCTTTTGAAGAAGTAACTTTCCACAGGCTTATTCTTGAATTAGGCTGGAGGGTTTTCTGGTTACCTCCAGAGTATAAGGCTGACTAAAGAATTTGAGGGTCAAAACAAGTCCATCAAATCTAGAGTACGTTCGACCCTGCTGATATGGGATACTTTTGCTGTTGACAAAGTAGTGGAAGTATCGACACGTGTTTTGTTACGCTTGTCTCCACATGCTTCCTTGTATCCCTCTCACTAGCCCTATCTGTTCCTCAGACAGATGTGGTATCTTATCTGGAAGCATAAGATGTTGAAGATGAGTACTCGAGAGCAATGCCAGGTAAATAATCAGGTAAGGGTTCCAGGCAGTCAGTTCCTGACTGGAAGCTTGATTCCAAGTGCTGACTGATTGCTCTCTTTATCCTTGTCTTGCAGGTGAGAACAAGGCAAAGGAAAAGACAGGGAAAAAGCATGATATGGGATACTCTTGCTTTTAACCCTGAGGATATGAGTTATTCTTGCTCTGGTGTAACTTGTTTGCAGAGGTATTATCGGGGGGAAAGAAAGCTGAGTATTTTGAGATGCTTCGTTGGGAGTGCCTTCTTAGATATGAGGAAGGGTTGAGCATTTTTGCAGGTCTGCCTGTCCGTTGAGGATGGAGGTCGACATATATAGGAGTCTCCCTAACAACAAGTAGTAATGCTATTCCTTTACCCTTCTTGGTCATAGCACTATAGTGGGAGCTGCCCGCTTCAAGTGTTTTAACTCTGTCAGAGCACTTTGAAAAAGTGGTCTGTGGTATCTGGAAAGCTGATGTTGGGTGTGAAGATTACAGACAAGCTTTATCCAAGGAGATCTGGCTCTCGAAGTTGAGAAAGCGATGCCTCTTCGATTTTCGAACAAGCGATCCTGTCGGGGATCTGGCTCTCGAGATCCGGAGAACAGTGCCTCTTCGATTTTTGAGAAAGCAATCCTGCTGGGAGTCTGGCTCTTGAAATTCGAAGAGCGATGTCTCTTCGATTTTTGAGAAAGTAATCATGTTAGGAGTCTGGCTCTCGAGATTCGGAGGGCGGTGCCTCTTCGAATTTGGAGCAAGCAATCTTGTTGGGAGTGTTTTCTCGAATGTGAGTAAAGGTTGGGCATTTTTGCTAGTATACCTTGCCACGGAGCACATAGGTTGACACACAAGGACTTTCCAATTATCCAGCAGTGGTGCTGTTCCTTTACCCTTGTGGGTAATAATATGGTAGCTAAACCTTCAAAATTTATGTGTCTAAACTTTGTTAATGCTGTTTCTTTGCTATTCTTTTACCCTTCTTGGTCATAGCGATGTAGTGGAAGCTGCAAGCTTCACGTGTCTAAACTTTGTCAGAGATCTTTGGCAAAGTAATGTGTGGTACCCATGAGCTGATGTTGCGTGTGGAAAGTGGATGATTGAACAGTAAGATTCACGTGCTTTCTACTTCACCAGAAATCTCCGACAGATTGCCCGTAATTTCCGCAAAGCTGAGTTTGCATTTGACAGGTGCTGATAAGGCTGAGAAAGCAGGTGCTTCTTCGATTTCTAAGATCGGCCCTCGTGGTCTCTAAGCAGCCCAGCTTTTAAGAAAGCAAGCGCCTCTTTGATTTTTGAGATCAGCCCTCGTGGTCTTTGAGCAGCCCAACTTTTAAGAAAGCAAACGCCTCTTCGATCTTTGAGATCGGCCTTCGTGGTCTCTGAACAGCCCAGCTTTTGAGAAAGTAAACGCCTCTTCGATTTCTGAAGCTCCATCGAGTGCAGATTTTTATAGAGGCTGGCATTAAGTTCCAAAGCACACTTGAATCTCCACCAGTAGAAGCTCCATTCTTGCACTTCTAAGATCTTGATTTGTCCTACCTCTTCTCTCTTCAACACCTTTGAAAATGTCTGGCCCTTCCGACTGTCGTTTTGACTTGAACATTGGTGAAGAGGCAGTCGCGCCTTCTCCAGACAACATATGACGTCCATCCTTCTTATCCCCTACTGGTCCTCTTACCGTTGGGGATTCCGTGATGAAGAATGATATGACCGCTGCGGTGGTGGCCAGGAACATTCTCACTCCTAAAGATAACAGACTTCGTTTCAAACGGTTTGATGAGTTGGCTGTTAAGGATTCTCTGGCTCTCAGTGTTCAATGTGCAGGTTCTGTGTCGAATATGGCCCAACGCTTATTTGCTCGAACTCGCTAAGTTGAATCATTGGCAGCTGAAGTGATGAGTCTCAAACAGGAGATTAGAGGGCTCAAGCATAAGAATAAACAGTTGCACAGGCTCGCACATGACTATGCTACAAACATGAAGAGGAAGCTTGACCAGGTGAAGGAATCTGATGGTCAGATTTTACTTGATCATCAGAGGTTTGTGGGTTTGTTCCAAAGGCATTTATTGCCTTCGTCTTCTGGGGCTATACCGCATAATGAAGCTCTAAATGATCAGCCTCCGATACCTCTTCCTTCTAGGGTTCTGTCCAGTACTGAGGCTCCGAGTGATCACCCTCCGATGCCTTCTCTTTCTGGGGCTCTACCGACTGCTGAGACTTCTCCTAAGCAACCTTTGTGAAGGCCCCCTCTTGTTTGTTTATTTTGACTCATGTATATGTACATATTTGTAACTTATCGGAGATATCAATAAATAAGCTTTGTTTCATTTCAACGTATTGTGTTAAATATACCAAAGCCTTATTCACTAAGTTCTTTGAATTTTTCTTTTGTTGAAGCTTGTATGTTGAAGCTTTGTGAGTGAAACATGTAGGTTAAGGTAGTGTTCCCTTCATTTCTCGAGTGAGGAAAACTTATCAGTTGGAGACTTGAAAAATCCAAGTCACCGAGTAGGGTCGGCTATATGAATCTTAGAACGCCTTTGTGTCATGTCCTCCGTTAGATCCAAGTACTCTAAGTCTTTTCTTAGAGTCTCTTTCAAAGTTTTCCTAGGTTTTCCTCTACCCCTTCGGCCCTGAACCTCTATCCCGTAGTCGCATCTTCTAACCGGAGCGTCAATAGGCCTTCTTTGCACATGTCCAAACCACCGTAACCGATTTTCTCTCAACTTTCCTACAATTTCGGCTACTCCTAATTTACCTCGGATATCCTCATTCCTAATCTTATCCTTTCTCGTGTGCCCACACATCCAACGAAGCATCCTCATCTCCGCTACACCCATTTTGTGTACGTGTTGATGCTTCACCGCCCAACAATCTGTGCCATACAACATCGCCGGTCTTATTGTCGTCCTATAAAATTTTCCCTTGAGCTTCAGTGGCATACGACGGTCACACAACACGCCAGATGCACTCTTCCACTTCATCCATCCAGCTTGTATTCTATGGCTGAGATCTCCATCTAATTCTCCGTTCTTTTACAAGATAGATCCTAGGTAGCGAAAGCAGTCGCTCTTTGGTATTTCCTGATCTCCGATCCTCACCCCTAACTCATTTTGGCCTCCATTTGCACTGAACTTGCACTCCATATATTATGTCTTTGATCGACTTAGGCGAAGACCTTTAGATTCCAACACTTCTCTCCAAAGGTTAAGCTTCACATTTACCCTTTCCTGAGTTTCATCTATCAACACTATATCGTCTGCGAAAAGCATACACCAAGGAATATCATCTTGAATATGTCCTGTTAACTCATCCATTACCAACGCAAAAAGGTAAGGACTTAAGGATGAGCCTTGATGTAATCCTATAGTTATGGGGAAGCTTTCGGTTTGTCCTTCATGAGTTCTTACGGCAGTCTTTACTCCTTCATACATATCTTTTATAGCTTGGATATATGCTACTCATACTCCTTTCTTCTCCAAAATCCTCCAGATAATGTCTCTTGGGACCCTATTATACGCTTTTTCCAAATCTATAAAGACCATGTATAAATCCTTTTTCCCCTCTCTATATCTTTCCATCAATCTTCGTAAGAGATAGATTGCCTCTATGGTTGAGCGTCCTGGCATGAACCCGAATTGGTTGTCCGAAACCTGTGTCTCTTGCCTCAATCTATGCTCAATGACTCTCTCCCAGAGCTTCATTGTATGACTCATTAGCTTAATACCCCTATAGTTCATGCAATTTTGTACGTCGCCCTTATTCTTGTAGATAGGCACCAAAGTGCTCTTTCGCCACTCATTTGGCATCTTCTTCATTTTCAAAATCCTATTGAAAAGGTCAGTGAGCCATGCTATACCTGTCTCTCCCAAGACTTTCCACACTTCGATCAGTATATCATTTGGGCCCACTACTTTTCTATGCTTCATCTTCTTCAAAGCTACAACCACTTCTTCCTTCCTGATTCGACGATAAAATGAGTAGTTTCTACACTCTTCTGAGTTACTCAACTCCTCTAAAGAAATACTCTTTTCATGTCCTTCATTGAAAAGATTATGAAAATAACCTCTCCATCTGTCTTTAACCGCGTTCTCTGTAGCAAGAACCTTTCCATCCTCATCCTTAATGCACCTCACTTGGTTTAGGTCCCTTGTCTTCTTTTCCCTTGCTCTAGCTAGTTTATAGATATCGAACTCTCATTCTTTGGTATCTAGTCGCTTATACAAATCATCATAAGCCACTAACTTAGCTCCTTTCACAGCTTTCTTCGCCTCTTGCTTCGCTCTTCTATACCTTTCACCATTTTCATCGGTCCTATCCTTGTATAAGGCTTTACAACATTCCTTCTTAGCCTTCACCTTTGTTTGTACCTCCTCATTCCACCACCAAGATTCTTTTTGGTGTGGAGCAAAGCCCTTGGACTCTCCTAATACCTCTTTTGCTACTTTTCGGATACAACTAGCCTTGGAATCCCACCTTTGGCTAGCTTCCCCCTCTCTATCCCACACACACTGTGTGATTACTTTCTCTTTGAAAATGGCTTCATTTTCTCCTTTTAGATTCCACCATCTAGTCCTTGGGCACTTCCAAGTCTTGTTCTTTTTTCTCACTCTTTTGATATGTACATTCATCACCAACAAGCGATGTTGATTAGCCAAGCTCTCTCCCGGTATAACTTTGCAATCCTTACAAGTTATACGATCCCATTTCCTCATTAGAAGAAAATCTATTTGTGTTTTTGACGACCCACTCTTGTAGGTGATCACATGTTTTTCTCTCTTCTTAAAGAAGGTGTTGGCTAAGAAGAGATCATATGCCATTGCAAAATCCAAGATAGCTTCCCCATCCTCGTTTCTCTCCCCAAAACCATGGCCACCATGAAAACCTCCATTGTTGCCTGTCTCCTTGCCCACATGTCCATTTAAATCTCCTCCTATAAATAACTTCTCCATCTGAGCAATTCCTTACACCAAGTCTCCAAGGTCTTCCCAAAATTTCTCCTTCGAACTCGTATCCAACCCTACTTGAGGTGCGTACGCACTAATCACATTGATGAGTTCTTGTCCTATTATAATCTTGATTGCCATGATTCTATCTCCTACCCTCTTGACATCTACAACATCTTGTGTCAAGGTCTTGTCCACGATGATGCCAACACCGTTTCTCGTTCTATTTGTGCCCGAATACCAGAGTTTAAACCCTGAGTTTTCTAGATCCTTTGCCTTAAGATCAACCCACTTAGTTTCTTGTAGGCACATAATATTTATCCTTCTCCTCACCATAACTTCCACTACTTCCATAGATTTTCCTGTTAGGGTTCCTATATTCCACGTTCCTAAACGCATTCTACTCTCTTGAACTCTACCATTTTGTCCTAGCTTCTTCAACCTCCCCCGTCTAATAGGATCAAAGTACTTCTTTTGTGTGTCCTGTGTAAAGTTGATAGGAGCATATGCTCCCAAATAACTTTGAGTGGAGTCGTTCGAAAAGAAGTTTCTATGGCCCCCTTGCTCATTTAACACTGCATCCGGGTGCTGATGGAGATACAGCGACCTTTGCTCTCTTATCACTGTACTCGAGCCACACAGCGCGCCACTTACGGGTGACGCCCTAGCTTTAGTGCGATATCGTTCTGAATTCATTTTCATAAGGATTCGACGTAAACTAGGAGTGCCGGCTGTCGACTAGCTGACGCCCTCCCCCTCTTCCTTTATCCGGGCTTGGGACCGGTAATGTAAGATAAACTTACACAGGCGGAGTTGTCTAGAATGATCTAATGTTTTAAAATATATGATATTTGAAATGACAAAGTTACAAGCGCGGTTGAAACCACACCTGTTGCTTCTGAACACGCAATGCCATTGTCTTAATTCCTCGTAAACAAATCCAACAGTTAAATGGAGCTACCCCAGAGCCTTCTGCATTTTGTAGGAAATATAACTGTTTGCCAAGCTGTTAATAGTGGAAACAAGTAGGCAGTCAGGTATGAATATAAGACATAAAACCAATGGTAAAGATAAGAGTAAGAAGCTCAACCCATCGCCTTTAACAGCTAAAACACCTGCCATGACATCACTGTGTCCAGCAATAAACTTTGTGGCCGAGTGCATAACAATGTATGGAAGAATGATGGACGAACAAAAAATAATAACAATTCAAACAGATTTGTAATTTGCAAAAGCTTGGAAGTCAACAGGTTATTTTCTTTACTTGCTCCTAGATCCAGTGGCTGTGACAATACAGGAGACATTATACTGTTATCCACTAACACAATAGCACCATGTGCATGAGCCATCTCTGCTATTTTCTGTCAAGGACATGAAATAAATTTGTCTTTAGAAAATAGAACCCTGGTGTACTCATCATAATTTTGTTAACTAAAGAAACTAAATAAGATACAGAACTCAAAGTTATTACTGGAAAAGATCGAGAAACTTTATGATATCGAATCAACGACAAAAATCACTAAACAGAAAGAAGTGAGCAACATTGTTATCTATTGCTTCCAAGATTCTAAAAGACACTAAGCGCTAGTTGGATGATGGGCCAGGGCCTAGTGCCTAGGTGGGAGCCTAGGCAGATAAGGCGGATTTTTAATTTAATATTACTTATAAATATAAATGTCTACTTATACTTAAAAAATACATAATTGTATTGGGATATATAAATGTAAATAGAATGATATAAATTATAAAGTATTAGGACATATTGAAAACATGCGGAACAAGCATATAATGAGTGTCCATCCAAGTATTTAACAAGTCTCCTACAATTTATTGAAAAAACGAAATGCAAAATGAAAGTAATCTATTTTCCGTCTAAGTGAGAATCGTGGCCTAAGCGTGTCTAGGGGGCCTAGGCGGGCGCCTAGGTAGGTCTAGGTGCCCTTTCTTAATTTTCAAAAGCCTAAAGATTAACCGGGACGGTGGCCAGCTGCCTAGCACCTAGATGGGGCCTGGGCAGAGATTTTTAGAACAGTGCATGCTTCATCTATCAACAATATAGCCCAGCATCAATGCAAAAGTAGTATAAAGAGTCAGAACTAATTATTTACTGAACTTTGCATTGGGTGGTCATGGCGACCCATGTGCCTTCCAAACTTCTATTTAACCCACAGATTACTTTCCTTTAGTAGATGAAGAATTAAAACCATAATGTTACATAACCCTGCTGACGTACCATAGAATCCCTGATTTACTCTAACATACTGGCCACTAGAAACATCTATACCTACAAATCAAAATTTTATGCAATATGCTACCCACTCAAGTTATATTATGCCTATGTTGTTCACAGTATATTTCAATAGCTTTTCTAACTACTAAATGACTAGCTTACATATCTCCTAACCATTTACAACTAATTTGGTACTCTTATCTATAGATTATAGAACATGGAACCTGGGTTTAAGTATGCAAAGAAAGTTACAATTTGGTCTACTAAGTCACTGATGGGATCAATGAGCAACATAGCACAAAAAGTAGAAGAGTCGGGTACAAAAAGGAAAAATTAGAAGCCACCATACTGCATATTTGGCCATGAACTTTGATCTACAGAAAAGCAAGCACAAAAACTATTGGAAGGGAAAAACAGTTTGAAGCTCTAAGGACTTTGATTAAATAGTACACAAGTTTTGAAACACAATAAGAACAATAATTTTCACAAGGCAAAGACAATCGCACATCAACTTCTAAGGCAAAGACAAGTGCATATCGAACTTCTATGTTAACTTCTAGTAAAATGACAAATATTTTATTGCTTTGCAAGATATTTTACATTACAACCTCAAAGGGTACTTCCGAGACCATATTTAGCGAATGGAAATTCATTCCCAAATCATACCAGCAATCAAGCATTAAATATTGTTTAGATATAAAAAGATAATAATTAAAATAAAAAACTCCATCACTTATGAGCTTATCTAATGCTAGTATATAAATATCTTACACGAATATCAGAAATGATTTGTCGAGGATTGGTAGGACTCTCCAGCCACACAAGCTTCGTCGAGGGGCCAATAGCAGATGCAACCTCACCTAAATCACTTGTGTTCACTCGTCTGTGTGATAAAACATTATAATTCAGAGTTCACTCAAACGGAATGAACATAAGAACAGAAGAAAATCATACTAACTTCACCACAACTCCAGTCTTTGGAATTACTTGTGATAGTAACCAATCGGAACCTCCATAAATGTCATATCCAGCAACAATCTCCTCACCTAAAATGGCATCATTTCCAATTGACAATATTCAGATAGCTTCCAAGAAGAAGTAAAATTTATTTGAGTACTCGTGTACAAAACTAACTTGCTCAGAGAAAGGACTTACAACAAACTTTAGTCCAGATCATGTAATGAATATAGGCAGATTGCAAGTTATGTTAGGACTCTCAATCCGGCCAGCTAGCTCAAAGCTCAATACATCGCCCAAAACTTTGGGAGCTGCGCTTAATGAGTTCCATGTTCAGGGTGATTTTGGGCTGTATAAGGACCAGCCCTATTATGGGGCCCATCTGCAGATTTTATTTCAATCATCCAAACCGTTCTATATTTAGGTTTTTCCTTTGTTTTTTTCTTATATATATTTTATTTGTGTTTTAATATTTACACTTAACATTTCAAAAGGCCTCAAAGCCTGAATCATTTGCATATATTTTAATCAGTAAATCCCTTACATATTTAATTAGGTATCATGTTCCACTCACTAATCCATGTTGTATCTGATGCATGTTGGGGCGTATTATGGGAGCAAGTGTTTAGCATCTTAACTGAGACTCTTACTCGAATCTAGTAACTAAACTAATCTGTACGGTATTATATGGTACTATAGTTGAAAATAACACCTGTTCCTACAAGATGAGCAACAGCAGCCAAAGCAGCCATTCCACTGGTGAAACAAAATGCTCGATCTGCTTTATCAAGCTTTGCTGAAAGGCTGAAAATAGAAATGAATAAAAAGCTTACAATAAATACTGTGCAGAGAATGAAGAACCATGTGGGATTTCCGCTTCTAGTATAATCATAAGCACCATTTTCTGTTGCTGAAGGCTGCATAACAAAGTATTGAAGACAGGATTAATATGAAACTCAGTGACAGAATGTCATCCAACATATATATCGTAAGCCAGAGATTTCTCACGCAATCAAGATACCTTTGACTTTGAGCACACATACAAGCCTATACTTAACAACAAGCGCAAGCACAATCCTCTTCTAAATGCAAAGAATAATATAACAACAACAAAGCCTTTTCCCACTAAGTGGGGTCGGCTATATGAATCCTTTCTTGTGTGCCCACACATCCAACGACGCATCCTTATCTCCGCTACACCCATTTTATGTACGTGTTGATGCTTCACCACCCAACATTCCCTGCCATACAGCATCGCCGGCCTTATTGCCGTCCTATAAAATTTTCCCTTGAGCTTCAATGGCATACGACGGTCACATAACACGCCGGATGCACTCTTCCACTTCATCCATCCAGCTTGTATTCTATGGTTGAGGTCTCCATCTAATTCTCCGTTCTTTTGCAAGATAGATCCTAGGTAGTGAAAGCGGTCACCATTTGGTACTTCTTGATCTCCAATCCATCTAATTCAGACATTTAAATTAGCTTCTTGGTTCTTTCTTCAACTCGTTTAAAATGGCCTAAACCCCTACCAGTAAAAAACACAGCTTGATGGCTTAAACAAGAGAATAAAATTCCGAATTTCATTGTTCCTCACAACAGCACCACACCAGATTCTCACTACGCAGTAAAAATACCTAAGATTCATATACAATTGTTCCTCTTGAAAACACTCCTACAATAGCTTATCTTGTCCCTAAGCAGCATTCAAATTGAAATAACTCTAAACTCTTCACTACCTTAACAACTATAGCAAGTAGAATAATCATGACTACAAGGAACTTAGCACTTACGACGTCTTTGGAATCGGTGGCAACGGAGCTGAAGAAAGGTCTAAAAGAGAGAGAAGAAGAAGCAGCCATTGTTGTTGCTTGAGAGTATGTGGAAGCTAGGATTGGTGGAAATGGAATAGGATCCTAGGCAGATTGTCTGCCCTCTGTTTGGTGTCCTTCCCATCCCTCCTATTGGTTAAACTACGTCAACATTTTATATTAATTTTTTTTATAGAGATAATAATACAAAAGACAATAAAAATATAAAATGTTGACGTAACTTAACCGTAACCGCACAAATAGGAATGGATGGGAAGAGCACCCAAACAGGGCAGACAATTTGCCTCCCTTCGGATATCCTTCTCTGCGGATCCTCCAAAGCAACTAATCTTTGCCATTGGTGAAAAATCGAGAAGCCAGCAAGCAATCTGCACCAGGAACACGAAAATCACCATCTCAACCTCCATCGTCGATTGGAAAACATATATGTAAGCCATCTCCATTGGAAAGCTCATCTCTGGTGCTATAATTATGTACAACACACCAGGTTATTATTTGGCCAAAGGGGCAAAATATAGGACTCAGATCCTCTCCGGATCAGTCCCATGGGGATCCTCCTGATGAAATGATCTCATTCGTTGATGCATATGCAACAATCGGATTAGTTGCATGTTTCCCTCTCCCTTCCCCTTCCTCTCTTCGCCCTCAACTCCTCTCCCCCTCACTTGGATACACCCACCACCAACCCCTGCATCTTTTCGGTCTTCTTCAGCCCAATTAAATTCCTTGTTTACTTTTGTAATTCTTATTTTTAAGTCTTGCCATTTTTTTCTTTGATATTTTCTTAGCTCCTTCAAATTGGGACTTTATCCAATAGGAAGAGGAATTTGCAGCTGGGGACGTTGGGGTGGGAGAGAGCCGGAAAAGGTTGCTGGGTTGTGTAAGATGTGGGATTACAGTGGCGATGGGTGCTTCCAAGTGAGGAAGAAAAAGGAGTTGAGGGGGAAGAGATGAAAGGGAAGAGATAGTTGCGAAAGGGGGAGAAAGACTTGCAACTATGTCGAACCGTTGGATTTGTACTAACGGATGAGATCAATTCGTCAGAGGATCCCTACGGAATTGATCCGGAGAGGATCTGAGTCCCCAAATAAAACCCCCTCCTTAACCTTTTTTTTTAGGGCACAACTCCTTAAATGCAATAATTAATTAAAATAATGATTTGATTTGAAAACATTTAAAAGTAGTTTAATTAAATTAACCAATAAATTTAAAGTATAAATTTAAAACTAACAAATTATTACGGTGGCTATATTTAGGGTTAGTTTGGTATTGCTGTGCTTTGAAAAAAAAAAACTGATTTCTGCTGTGCTCTGAGAATAAGCAGCTGTGAAATAAAGTAGAAGAGTGTTTGGTAAACTTTTTTGTGAAAGTGCTTTTGGAAAAAGAAAAAAAAAGCAGTATGATAGTGTTTGGCAATGTCTAAAATATCGATAATATTGGCGAAATATCGCTAATATTATTGTTTTTGTGAGAGTCCGATATTTCTACACCTATCCACTTGATTATCGTCAATATATCGAGATAATATTGATAATATCGATATTATCGTGTCCTTCTTGAAGGCGACGCCGATGGAGTAGACGGCGACGGGCATGAGGGCCTTAAGCATCTGGATGAAGGAGACGGAGAGGAAGATGTAGGCGGAATTGGAGAACCAGAGGGAAAGGGCGTACAGGGCGCCTATGGGGATGACCGACTTGAGGAAGAGGTTACGGGAGATGGAGACGGCGCCGACGAGGCGGAAGACGCGGACGAGGAAGAAGGCGAGGGAGGAGCAGAGGGAAAGGGCGTAGAGGGCGCTGATGAGGATGATCAACTTGAGGTAGAGGTCACGGGAGATGGAGACGGCACCAACGAGGCAGAAGACACGGACGAGGAGGAAGGCAAGGGAGGAGCAAAAAGCCATGTGGGAGAAAGATCGAGAGACTGAGGTCTCTGTCCGTGTGTGTGGGAGAAGAGAGAAGAGAGAAGGATCGAAAGATCTTTGTGTGTGTGTAGGATAAGGGAGAAGGGAGAAGAGAAAAGGATCGAGAGACTGAGGTCTCTATGTGCGTGTGTGGGCTCTCGATCTCTGTGTGCGTGTGTGGTGGCGTGTGAGAAAAAAAAAGCATCCAAATAATTCAAAACCGTGTCTCTGACTCTCTGTCTCTGACTCTTGACAACTTTTACAACTTTAACAACTTTTGACAAGACAAAAAGTAATGGGTGGTTTCATCAAGATTCAAAACCGTGTGCCATGCGTGATATTCTTTCACATTCTCAGAGGTGGAGCATCAGATCATCACACATTTTTTTTACCCTTCGAAAATTGAAAAACCTCTATTACACCTTTTCATTTCTTCTTCTTCCATTAGCCCTTTCAGAGCCATTCCAGAGCCATTTCAAAGCTTCAAACTGAATAAATGGATCTGCAGCTCGCACCACTCCAAATTAAATGTTAAATACCTTATTTTCTCTCTCATTTATTCATAGACGGCAAGCTGCAGAGGATCGTCTCGATTTTGCTGCTACGTATGACATCGAAAGTTCTATATTTGTTACATTTTGTGTAATTATTATTTTATTGTTGCTCCACGCAGATTCTATTTAGCCTTTACACAAAGGGTTCCATATTTAAGGTAAGTTTATAAACTTATATTTATATTATTGTAATTTATACAACAACAAAAAAAATTTGTGTGGACCCGTGCATGTGATCTAAGAACCAAATAATACTTGCATGTTAATTTTTTGAAGTAATTAAGTAATGTTGTATAATTATTCCCTAGAATAATTTTAATATGTTTAATGTTATTTATTATTTTATTATCAAATTGGATTATTATTCATTAATATTAGGTTTTATTATTCCATATTATTTTTATAATTACTTAAATTCTTACAATCATTTTATTTACTTCCTATTTAATATGTTTCCGTCACTACTATATTTTTTGGCCAAAAAATAATTGCCTAATTTCCATGAAAAATAAATATAGGTATATTTAAGATGTCCAGTGGAGTTACTAAACGTGATCCAGCTTGGGAACATGGAGACCCAATAGATGGAAACAAACATGGCACAATTTACAAATATTGTGGTCGGGTAATGAAGAGCGGTGGAGTGACACGACTTAAGTACCATCTTAGTGGATTAGATCCAAGAAATAATGTCCAACAATGCGATAATGTCCCCCCAGAAGTGAAGGCATTCATCACCACATTATTTAAAAATAAAAAACACCAAAAGGAAAAGAAAACACATGGAATGGAAAATATTCGAGCTGGGCTAGGAGCAGAAGTCATTGGCCAAGTGGTTGACAGTGATGATGATGACGATGAGGATGAATGTGATGATGACATGGGACCTGAAGAACGACGCAGTTTCAAACAAGCATTACGTGCCTCCAATTAGTCAGCATGGGAAAGAGAACACCTTCATAAAATTCCTAATAGAGCACAAGGTTCTGGGACAAGTGGTGGTGCACAAATGAGACAGGGAGGCAGTCTTAGAGAATCACAACCAACACCACCAATAGCCCCAAGTTTATATAAGTCATCCAAAGCACGTCAAAAGAGTGTTTGGAGTTATTTCACTGGAGGTAATGTGAATGAGGGAATGGGGCATCTAATTAGCAAGTTCTTTATCAATGAAAATGTCCCTGTTGAGAAGACATCATCACATCATTTCAAAAATATGGTATTGGGATGTCAACAGGTCGGTGTTGGAGTACAACCTCCCACTTCCTATGAGGTAAGAAACAAATATTTGGAAATGGAGTATAAAGACATTGGCGAGTATGTTAACAAGTTGAGGTCAAAGTGGGAAACTAATGGTTGCACAATCATGTGTGACGGATGGACTGGCCCAACCAGATTATCTATCATAAACTTCATAGTATACTACAAAGGAAAGACAATTTTTTTAAAGTCTGTTGATGCTTCAGACCATATAAAGAACTACAAGTATATTTACAAATTATTGAGGGATGTAATCATGGAGGTGGGAGAGCATAATGTTGTCCAAGTCGTGACCGACAACGGTTTTGCATTTGTCAAAGCTAGAAAAAAGTTAATGAAGCATCATAATGTGTTTCGGACATCATGTGCAGCACATTGTATTGATCTTATGTTTGAGGCAATGAGGAAGAGAGAGAGAATATTGCTACTATCGTAAAAATAGCTAGAACGATCACAATCACGGTTGGTTATTGACAAAGATGCGTGAATTTTGCAAAGGAGAAATTATTCGTCCAACTACCACTCGATTCACCACCAACTATATTGCATTAGACAGCCTACTTAAGAAGAAAGCAGGGTTGAAGCAACTATTCACTAGTGACGATTGGGCCAACCCATTTTTTAAGCCGCTCCGATGACCAAAAAAAAACAAATTTATTAAAAAAAATTGAAAGAAATTCAAATCACCTTCAAAAAAGAAAGAATAATCAGAGAGCAAAGTTATGATATTAATCTCCATGAACACAGAGAGCTGAGAGGCGGATATCGTACCTTGCTGCGTCGAGTTGTAAACTGTAATTGTAAATGGTGATGGAGGAGGAGGAGCACAAAGCCTCCTTCCTTCTCGAGCCTTCTTCTTGTTCTGAAGCTTTTCGGGTCGCAGTTTGGATAATACGCGGGTTTAAGGGTTCTAGCATCTACGCCGCTCCCCTTTAACTTATTCAAATCAGCGGTCGGTTGCGATGTCCGGCCCATTTAAAACAGTAACATATTTGTCTATCTCTACTCATTTTTTATTTTTTATTTTTACGATAAATTACAGTTTGAATTCTCAAATTTTATTAAAATTACAATATCATACGTTATCAGTTAACATTACAATATCATACAAAATTGTGATTTAATTATAATGACATACATATATTAGAAAGTCAATTACATAAGTCGTTTAATGATGATGTGACAAGATAAAAACAAAGTTAAAAAATAATTATTCAAAGTAATTACATTGTTGATGGACAGAATTGTAAAGTTGGTTTTATAGACAAAATAATGGGAGTCTTAACCAACGAAACATTTTTGATACTATTCATTTTTAATATTAAAAATATTTTTACTATAAAAAGTCACTTATGATACTATTTACTTACAACACATTTTTATTCTTTTGGTTAAAACTCAAATCAACCATTTTGATTAGTTTTTTCTCAAAATAAATGAGTTATATACAATTTCCAAATTTAAAAGCCTCTAAAAGAAAAAACCAGTTTGCCAAAAAAAAAAAGAAAAGCAAAACCCAAGTGTAAGCTCAGTTCTTTGCTCTGTTCGTACCGTGTCTGTATCTGTACGACTGTTTAACTGAATGTTTGCTGGGTTTGCTGGGTTTAGGTGTTTGGAATTGGTGGCTTCTCATCTAGTATCTTCCCAGCAGCAATAGCCGGTCAATTGTTTTCATTTATGGAAATAT